AGCACATAACAACAACCACCACCACCATGCTCATGGATAGAAGATCTAACATGGTAAAAATGACAATACTACCTGTGGTAGTTAACTTGGCTGAGCCGTGATTCTGAGTGGCTTAGCAGTTACGGTGTAGTCATTCCCCGTGATGAGACTTGGTGTACTGTAATCACCTCCACGATGAAATCTGTGAGCAGCCAATCATTTGAAAGGGAGTTGCCTTCCACGGATGGCCTGCTTCCAGTATAGATGCTTTTTGCTTGTTGTGAATCCTGCATTTGGCCCATCACCACCCTCAGTTCCTAGACTTGAACCAGGGGCCTGCCATGCTGCCTGCAGGTCTAGAGACTGTGGCCTTTGCAGTCTCTGAGCCAACAATCTGCCCTTTCTCCTGTTGACCTTGAGTCCATCAGTCCCTGAAGCTGCGCAAGTCAGGAGAAGCCGCCGGTGACACTTGATCCATAGACTTGGGACTTGTCAGCCTCAACAACTGCCTGAGACATTTCCTTAAGATCAATTTCTCTCCCTCTCCCTCTTAATATAAAAAAACTTCACTGATTTTGCTTCTCTAGAGAACCCAGCCTAAGACACTATCAAAACAGTCTACAGATACAATACAAGGCTCTCCAGGTTGCATCATCATTCTTTAAAGAGATGGAAAAGCTGTAATTACAACTTTATATGTGAAGGAACAGACTGCACATAGGCAAAACACTGCTGAAGAAGAGCAAACTAGGAGGTCTCACACTCCCTGATCTCAAAACCTATGATAGAGTCACAGTAGTCAAAACCGCATGGTATCGGTACAGGGACAGACACATAGACCAGTGGAACAGAATTGAGAACCTGGAAGTAAATCCCTCCACCTACGGACAGCTGATCTTTGACAAAGGACCAAAACCCATTAAACGGGGAAGTGACAGTCTCTTTAACAAATGGTGCTGGCAAAACTGGACATCCTTCTGCAGAAAAATGAAACAAGATCCACATCTCCTATGTGAAAATCATATCTGAAACCTCACTCTAGATGGGTCAAAGACCTAAATGTAAAACCTCAAACCATAAAGGTCATCAATGAAAAAAGAGAGGCAAACCCAGGGGCCCTGACACATGGCACTGATACACCATCAAGCATAACTAAAAACGCACAAACAGCAGAACACAAACTAGATGACTGGGACCTACTAAAGGTTAAACGTTTACATGCATCAAAAGACTTTGTCAAAGGAGTAAAAAGAGAACCTACAGACTGGGGGGAAAAATTGGTGACAATTGATCAGCCATGTCTAAAATTTATAGACAACTTCAACACCTCAGCAAAAAAAGGAAAGACAAGCAATCCAGTTTAAAAACAGGCAGAGGATATGAACAGACACTTCACCAAAGATGACATCCAGGAGGCCAACAGATACATGTAGAAGTGCTCACGATCATTAGCCATTGTTGTTGTTGTTATGTGCCAAGGAGTCAGACCCGACTCATAGCGACCCCTCCTTGGCTTTCCAAGGTGGTATCACTATGGAAGTAGATTGCCCAAACTTCCTTCCAAGGACTGGCTGGTGGGTGTGAACCGGCAGCCTTCTGGTTAGCAGTCAAGTGCCTTAGGCACTATGCTACCAGAGCTCATCATTAGCCATTGGAGAGATGCAAATCAAAACAGCAATGAGGTGTCATCTCACCTCAGCACTGATAGCAAAGTTCAACAAGACAGAAAACAACGAATACTGGCAAGGGTGTGGAGAGACAGGAACCCTCGTACACTGCTGGTGGGATTGTAAAGTGGTACAACCACTGTGGAAAACGTGATGGCACTTCCTTAGGAGATGGGAAACAGACCACATGATCCATCAATCCCACTACTAGGTATACATCCTAGAGAAATGAGAGCTGTGACATGAACAGATACATGCACACCCATGTTCATCACAGCATGATTCACGATAGAAAAAATGGACACAACCTAAGTGTACAATCAGCAGATGTATAAATAAAACAAAGTGTGGTCCATACACACAATGGAATACCACGCAATGTTAAAGAACAATGAATATGCAAAACACCTCATCACATGGGTGAACCTAGAGGCCTTTATGTTGAGTGAAATTAGTCAGTCACACAAACACAATTATTACATGAGACAACTACTTAAGAGAAAGCTTACATACAGAAAAAACTGTTCTTTGAAGGTTCCCAGGGGTGGGAGGGGAAGGGAAAGTAAATCGCTAACTAGAGAATACATTTTTACTACATCACTAACCAGAGGATAGATCTGTATTCACTTGGGTGAAGGGAAAGGTGAGATACAGTAAGGGTAGGTCAGCACAGAATGATTAAGGCCATGGAAGAGACAAGGAGCAGCCCAAGAATTAAAAGCCACCAAGGTAAATACTATCACATACACAGTCCTGCAATAACAGTAATTAACAACAATGTAGGAGGGAATGTATAGACAGACAGTCTGAAGAGGGGTAGGAAGGTGAATGGGATTATACCCACGAGTATGTGTAACTGACAAAGCCTTTATCTATTTATGGGTCATCCAAACCGAAACCAAACTCATTGCCGTTGAGTCAGATCTGATTCATAGTTGACCCCTCCTTGGGTTTCCAAGGCACTGTCTCTACAGAAGTAGATTGCCCGATCTTTCTTCTGAGGAGTGGCTGGTGGGTTTCAACTGCCAGCCTTCTGGTTAGCAGTCAAGTGCCTTAGGCACTACGCTTCTAGAGGCAGCCTATGGGACATATGTGATGCAAATATATCTGCAAATGTGGCAGAGCATACAGGGGCCAATTAGGAAACTTCTTAGTCACCACCATATAGCTTGAGAGAATAAGCTACTGGGTACAGAGTCTCAGAACCATACCTGTGGGGGGACACTAAGGTCACTTGGCGTAACATAGTCCACAAAGACAATGTTCTACATCCTACATTGCTGAGTAGTGACTGGGGTCTTAAAAGCTTGGGAGTGGCCACCTGATGTGTACTAACTATTGGTCTCTCCCTGTGTGGAACAAAGAAGAGTGAAGAAAATCAAAGACACAGGATACGATTAGTCCAATGGACAAATGGAGAACAGGAACCCCATCCTCCATGACCCTGAGACCAGAACTAGATGGCGCCCAGCTCCTACTGCTGACTGCTATGAAAGGGATCACAATAGGAGGTCCCAGATAGAGTGAGGGATGTGTGGAACTCAACTCAAAATCATAAAAGGACTGGGCTTACTGGCCTGATGGAGACTGGTGGAACCCCCAAGACTATGGCCCTTAGACACGCTTCAAGTTAGGAACTGAACTTAACTCCCATGACTCAACTCGCAGCCAAATAGGTTAACAGTAATATCAGGAGGGTATGCACTCATTATAGCCATCAAGCCCATGAGATCAAGAGGACAGCATTTGCCCAGAGCTAGCAGCAGGAGGTGGGCGGGGGTGGGAAGGAAGAACAAAGAGAAGAGGTGGCAGCAGGAGGACATGGGGAGAAAGCTGCTACGGCTGGGACCTTAAAAGCTAGCAAGCTGCCATCTAGATGCAATGATGGGTCTCTCCTCGTCCAGAGCAAAGCAGAATGGAGAAAACCAGAATTCGTGGAAACAATTAGTCAGTCCTAGCAACTATTACACCATCCGATCTGCAGCCTATATGACTATGAGACCAGAAGAACTAGTTGGTGCCCGGCTACCACTGCCATCCACTTGGAAGGGGATCTATGTAGGAGATCCTTGATAAAGAGGGAGAACAATGTACAAGAAAACTCAAAATCATTTGTAAAAGAAAAAAAAAAAAAAAAAAAAGGAGGGACCAGTTTTGCTGGTCTGATAGAGCCTGGTGGAACAACTGAGACTAAGGCCCTTAGCTGCCCTTCAGGTCTGGAATTGA